ACCTACAATTGATATATTGAACACTATTTTAACAGTGGTATTTCTATATCGATCTACAATTGATGTATTGAGCACTATTTTAACAGTGGTATTTCTATATCGATCTACAATTGATATATTGAACACTATTTTAACAGTGGTATTTCTATATCACTCTACAATTGATATATTGAGCACTATTTTAACAGTGGTATTTCTATATCGATCTACAATTGATATATTGAACACTATTTTAACAGTGGTATTTCTATATCGATCTACAATTGATATATTGAACACTATTTTAACAGTGGTATTTCTATATCACTCTACAATTGATATATTGAACACTATTTTAACATTTAACAGTGGTATTTCTATATCACTCTACAATTGATATATTGAACACTATTTTAACATTTAACAGTGGTATTTCTATATTGCTCTACAATTGATATATTGAACACTATTTTTACAGTGGTATTTCTATATCACTCTACAATTGATATATTGAACACTATTTTAACATTTAACAGTGGTATTTCTATATCACTCTACAATTGATATATTGAACACTATTTTAACATTTAACAGTGGTATTTCTATATTGCTCTATAATTGATGTATTGAGCACTATTTTAACAGTGGTATTTCTATATCACTCTACAATTGATATATTGAACACTATTTTAAAAGCGGTATATCTATATCGCCCTACAATTGATGAACTGAACACTATTTTAACCGTCGTATTTCTATATCACTCTACAATTGATGTATTGAGTACTATTTTAACAGTGGTATTTCTCTATCACTCTACAATTGATGTATTGAGCACTATTTTAACAGTGGTATTTTTATATCCCTCTACAATTGATGTATTGAGCACTATTTTAACAGTGGTATTTTTATATCCCTCTACAATTGATGTATTGAACAATATTTTAACAGTGGTATTTTTGTATCAATCTACAATTGATGTATTAAGCACTATTTTAACAGTGGTGTTTCTATATCTCTCTACAATTGATGTACTGAACACTATTTTAACAGTAGTATTTCTATATCACTCTACAATTGATGTATTGAGCACTTTCTTAACAGTGGTATTCTGTATCAATCTACAATTGATGTATTAAGCACTATTTTAACAATGGTATTTCTATATCACTCTAAAATGGATGTATTGAGCACTATTTTAACAGTGGTATTTTTATATCACTCTAAAATGTATGTATTAAGCACTATTTTAACAATGGTATTTCTATATCACTCTAAAATGGATGTATTGAGCACTATTTTAACAATGGTATTTCTGTATCACTCTATAATTGATGTATTGAGCACAATTTTAACAGTAGTATTTCTATATCGCTCTACAATTGATGTATTGAGCACTATTTTAACAGTGGTATTTCTATATCACTCTATTATTGATGTATTGAGCACTATTTTAACAGTGGTATTTCTATATCACTCTATAATTGATGTATTGAGCACTATTTTAACAGTGGTATTTCTATATCACTCTATAATTGATGTATTGAGCATTATTTTAACAGTGGTATTTCTATATCAATCTACAATTGATGAGTTGAGCACTATTTTAACAGTGGTATTTCTATATCTCTCTACAATTGATGTATTGAGCACTATTTTAACAGTGGTATTTCTATATCACTCTATTATTGATGTATTGAGCACTATTTTAACAGTGGTATTTCTATATCACTCTATAATTGATGTATTGAGCACTATTTTAACAGTGGTATTTCTATATCACTCTAAAATGGATGTATTGAGCACTATTTTAACAGTGGCATTTCTGTATCATGCTTGTCAAACGTTTGTTTTTATAATTTGTTGATCATGGGTATTATTATTTGTGCATTTTAGAAACCTGCCGAATCTGCATATCAGTTTAGAAAATATTGAAAATGTACAAATTGGTAGTAATAATACTTTGGTGGTTGTGAGAGGTATAGAAGAAGGTAGGGGCATCAACTATATTTGACTGTGTTATTGGTACACTTTAACTAAACAATTCTACTTCTACTTCTACAAAAGGCTACATGTCTATAATTACCGTTTAGCCTGGTAGACGAATCCGCATGTTTACCTGGTAAGAATTGGTTTTATTTGAATGAGGTACCGACACAATTGAAGTAGTGCGTTAGTGACGTGGGACACGCGAATTATCAATATGGCTTGTCTGCTAATACGTTTGCAAGTCTTACATCACAAAATCACTACACCAAGACATGCCATGCATCATTAAACGTAAAATTGAATTCGCTTTTTAACAAAATTTTCAAATATGAGGTATAGGGTATGCTTACTCTTCTGTACACCTGAAATACTTACTCAATAATGATTGATATACTTCCTCATGTGAAAGATCATTAGCTGCTACCAATGTTTCGTCAATATGTTGTATTTTATTTCGAGTTTCGTCCGGTTCGGATCGTTAGTACTTAGTTTATTTAATTTTTCTCGATGCATATGTTTCTCGCTATACCATGTAAGGTATCAAATAAGTTTTCTGGGTCACTGAGCCCAATCCAGCTAGGCCTATTGTTTTTCATTTTGTAGTGATAGGGGTCACTCGGGTCAGCTTTAATCACCTACTCATTCTAATAGTGAGGTTTTTCAGACAGAATCAACTGAAAGCGATCGTGAAAACACTACAATTCAATTCAACGGTATTAAGTCGACCATTGAAACTCCTGTGTTACAACAAGCATGTCCATTCTCGCTATAACACTCGTCAAGTCGTATTTATTTCAAGAGCACGTATTGTGAGCGTTCTGTGTTTTAGAAGATACATCAATGTCCAAATGTCGGTCATCACATCATATTGTCTGTGTCAGATTTGATAAAGATAGTTGGATATAGGGAAGCCGTCCTTTCAAACAAGATATAGAACGAAAGAACTTTGAACATGTGGAACAAAGACTCTCTTGAAATAAGTAAAGAGATAGCTTGTCCACTTAACGATTCATGAAATACCAATAGATGGTTCATAGTGCTAACAGAAAGATGAACGCTGCTGGAGCTGCGCATTGTCATGTGCATTGGCCGATATGTTGATGGTTAACCCAGGATTGATTTGGAATCCTGTGATAACCGTCATCGATTCCAACATAAATGCGGTCAGCAGTGTATAAGGGCATGCACTAGTTAACATGGTTGTAACGTTTCAATGGTCGAGGAAGTATAGAATTGTAGGAGAATCTTGTTATTTATTAATGACGGTCGGCTTCGTACCATTGATTTGAATTGAAATGTTGATATTTTCACGAAGTATATTCACCATCGACAGGTCGCATTTAACTCTGTCTGGAAAAACCTCACAAGCCTGGAAACCGGATCCTTATCGCTCCAATAAGAAACATAATAGCTGGATCGGGTTTAATGATATTGATACATTACATGGTACAGTCATTTTGAATTTCCCCAAGCTGAATTATTTGGGACTTTCTTCTTGGACGTCTACTAGACATATTCAAATAAAACAAAAATCATTTCTTTGCGAAATGTTTTCACCAGCTCTCATCTATAAGTCGAATTTGTCACGGTGGCTTAATATCGTCATAATTTCGAAATATAAATTTTAATTCTTACTCTCCTCTGTATTGTGTTATTTCAGATACTCCTGAAAACAATAATAATATCCCTCATGTTTCTAAAGTTACACTACGATATGGTGATGACAAGCCCTTAAACTACAGATCTAGTGGATCTACCTGTATTAGTATTGGTAATAATTGTACTATAGCTGAGATAATTCTAAACAAAGAGTTGTTACGAACCGGGAAATTTACAGGTAAATGCTTCACCTGTTCATTCTAATAACACAGATATTTTTATCATCGAAACATTGAGATAGACGTTAACACACAGTTTTAAAACCTTTAATTGCTTGAAGACATTACAGATACCATATTAACCGATGAGGTGTTTAGAAATAAATTCGATACGAGAATCAGAAGAAACGGATCACAATGTTTTACTTACTTCTACAAATGATTTGATCTTGACCTTACAATTAACAGCATGATAAAAAAATATTTTTACTCCCACATGCAAATCGACGATTTGTCGATAAACAATTTTTAAGTTATCTCCCATGACTTTAACAGAGTAGTAACTACAGTTTTTGTCTGTTTAAATGAAACTCGAATAGATCTTGGACAAGTTCGCATTCTCCGAAATGTTTTCAATATTTAGCTGGTAAATATTGTAGAAGGCAAAACAACATTATTAGCTAAAAAAAAAAAAGACTTAAGTATGATTTGATCAATAAAATGACCCAAATGTCCCTCTAAAATCAATTTCAAGTAAATATACCATCATTATTGTTTATTGTAGTAACAAAGGGAGATAACTTAGTGTCTATAATCTGGTGCGACAAACAATCACAGTCAGAACAAGCTTCGACTGATCACAAAGCATTGAAAATTAAATTTATCGAAGACCAAGATATTGTAGAGCTCGAGAAGCAGGTGATTGAATTACTTGCTGATTGTAAAGATAAAAAGCTGGTTCAACTGATAAAAGAATTTTTACAGAAATATAACGCCAGATTGAAACATATCAACATGGGTTGTATTGAATTGGAGATTGATTTACAATCTGATAATGGTGCTGTCAACTTCCAGGAAAAGAAAGAAGAAATAAAAGACCTTCTTCGAAGAACGATTATTCCAGTGGGTGCAAAGTTTGATATTGAACTACAATCTCCACCATTTAATACCATTGAATCTGATAATGGTGCTGTCGACTTTCAGGACAAGAAAGAAGAAATAAAAGACCTTCTTCGAAGAACGATTATCCCAGTGGGTGCAAAGTTTGATATAGAGTTACAATCTCCACCATTGAGTACCAGCGAAGGCTTGTCTACATCAGAATTATTTGGAAACCAGACAAAGGGTGATGTAATTACCGATGAAAAAGATCCGGATTCTGATTCTGATTCTGATTATGACTCTGTCCTATCTTCATCAAGTACTCATAATCCAAACGACGAGTACAAAACACTAGAATCGGAGTTTCAATCTCAAATATTGTCAACTAGAAAAACAAAACCAGTAGAAGAAGAAGAAGCAAGGACACATTTGTTTCCCATACGAAAAAAGACTAGTGACTTAATGGAAGAATCGGTGATTGATGCATCGATATATCCCGAACCAAATGAAGTGACATCTGAATATGAAAGTTTTACAAAACCTAGCAGACATGTATTACGTCACATCAGTAAGAATGGAATAAGACAACATTTGAAAGAAAGTCTGGATGAAGTATCTGGATGTTGTAAAAATGTGATACAGAAGAAGCTTGAACGATATAATTCAAGAGAAACCGAGAAATTCGAGATCAATATAGATAAAATAAAGAGAACATTAGACATGGAATTCGAACAGTTTTATAACAATCTTAAAACTGACATTGAAAGATTATACGGTCGAAGGATTGATTGGGAAGATTTCAAAGTGTGTCCTTTCTGTCATATTAAAGACACGCATTGTAAATGTACTTCTTTACCAGAAAGAAATAAGACAAGATCCAGGCCCAATGTGGATATTACAGTTATTATAATAAACAGGCTAAAAGAAGAATTTTATGTGGCTACAGTCAGGTTCCGTGAGAAAATAAAATACAGCTTTGAAGGAAAAGAGGTTGAGATGCCTAAAGAGGAAGATGAAATAGTTCATACCCAGCCTTTAAAGACGAGCATGGAATATGAAAGCCTGATACTTGGATCAGAAATGCAAGATAAATGGTTGGAGATTAATCAGCATATTGGTCAAATAGTAGAGCGGTTACAAAAGAGAATGGTATGGTTTACAGCAACATTGCGCAGATCTTCCAACAGTAGAAAAAGAAAGGAAAAAAACGAAGATCCTGATTTGTATTTACCAAGACCAAAAACATTTAAGGGCATTGGGAACGAAAGAAACGAAGAATTGCCAACCGCGTCAACTTCTTTTCCTGGTTGGTATTCAACAAGGCCCAAACCATTGTGGGGCAATCATTATATGTATGCAACAAGTACGAAAACAACTTCTCATTCTGATTTGTATTCTGGTTTGTTTTCAACAAGGCCCATGAAAGTTAGGAACACTGGGAAAGAAAAAAGCGAAGACTCGTCAACCGCGTCAACTTCTCATTCTGATTTGTATTCTGATTTGTTTTCAACAAGGCCCATGGAAGTTAGGAACACTGGGAAAGAAAAAAACGAAGAATCGTCAACCGCGTCAACTTCTCATTCTGATTTGTATTCTGGTTTGTTTTCAACAACGACAGACAAAAAATGAATTTAGTAGAATGTGTTTTCTCTGTCGCTTAAAGGGATACTACCTCATAGAATCAACATACCTATACGACATAATCCTGTATAATTCGACAATTCCATAAAATAAGGTTACTATTGAAGAATTTTGGTTTCAAATCGTCGTTTAACCTAAGGCATTTTTGCGCTCTTAAAACTGATTCGGTTACTAAAATAAATATGACGTCACAAAGAGAAACAGATTTTGTTTGCAGGATTAATAAAACTGAATATTTATCAAGTAGGCGGCTAACCAGCTGCAACACTCCACCCCAGACAGAATAAACAAATATGTTTGAGATAAATTTCCCGACTGAAAAGTGCCGTAATGACAAACTATCATCTTGCCTAGAAACGGAGTAATCATTTTAGACGTCATTACTAAAGAGGAAGTTATCAAAGTAATGACGCTTCAGAATCGATTTGTTCGATTACAGTATATCGATTCGATTAGGTGCTAGGATAAATGTATTGATTAATATAATTGATTTCGATTTGATACAGGATAGATAGTTTTCAGTTGTAATCTAATCAGACTAACTTAGAGTAAAAACCAGCGTTAGCAGACTCTTTCCGGCTCACAGAGACGTTTTAAACCCCAATTAGTCCTATTGCCATTCTTTAAACAATTAATAAGTGTAGAGTGTCTGTTTATTTAACCAATAATCATAATTAAACAGTAATTGTAGCTGTAGGACGAGTGTATTTTAAGAGGTAGAATATTTTTAACAATATAGTCGATGTTATAACAATTGAATAATGATATTTATATCGCACTATAGTGACTATATGTTATAGAGGTTTAAATATAACTTTTTCATCAGAAAGGCCCGAATCTTGATTGTTAAATGGTTATGTTGTTTTAGTTTCTGTGTTCACAATAACAAATCAGTTACAAGATGTTAAAATTCATGTTATAGAAAGAATAATGATTGAGATAGTCGTCTCGACTTGACCTCTTAATTCTGACCTGGCTTACCTTCTGGAACACAGTTTTTGGACTATATTGAAACCTCTAATATAGAATCATAATATATAATTATATCTCACTGTATCTCATATTAAATAAAGACCAATGATTCCGAAAGTCTTCCGTTGATTCCATCATTTGCTTAATTATGATAATTTATAGTTTTTGACTCGACCTTTTAGTATTATAGAAGCCTCATAGCCACCATAGCAAAACAGAAAATATTCCATTGTATGTATAAATACCCCATTATATGTATAAATATTCTATTGTATGTATAAATATTCCATTGTATGTATAAATATTCTATTGTGTGTATAAATATCCCATTGTATGTATAAATATTCCATTGTATGTATAAATATTCTATTGTGTGTATAAATATCCCATTGTATGTATAAACATTATATTGTATGTATAAATATTCTATTGTATGTATAAATATTCCATTGTATGTATAAATATTCTATTGTATGTATAAATATTCTATTGTATGTATAAATATCCCATTGTATGTATAAATATTCCATTGTATGTATAAATATTCTATTGTATGTATAAATATTCTATTGTATGTATAAATATCCCATTGTATGTATAAATATCCCATTGTATGTATAAATATCCCATTGTATGTATAAATATTCCATTGTATGTATAAATATTCCATTGTATGTATAAATATTCCATTGTATGTATAAATATTCTATTGTATGTATAAATATATGTGTGCTGTTTTTTAATAGTAAATTTTCATTGAAAAAAAAACTATACTTCATTTATTTTCTAGTTTTCTTTTTGTTTATTCATTTTTTGTAATTTTTATATATTTGATTTGATTAATTAAAGCTTCTTTAACTTCAATTATTCATTGTTATAATATCTGATTGTTCGCACCCTAACCTGTAGCATCAGTTATCAAGTCGTGGGATATATGAGTATAAATTTTTATATACAGTGTAGAGCACAGGTTAATATAAACGAACCGACCCTTAACCGATAGTAACACGAACTGGTCAACGTGACGTAATAGCTTCCTTCTCAAAGAGCATGGCTGACATTCTGGTCAAGTCTTTATCGTTCTAACTCATTTCTGTTATTTGTGGAGATTAGTGGTTGACAATTTGATATGTTTTTATGTTATCTTATTTAATGTATATCGTAGAACATTTCTAGCGGTCCTAAACTCCCTGTCATTTTGTATTTGTCCTGTAATTTATATGTAAAGTTTGGGTCTGAAATCGTTCCATCGTCAATGAGTCGTCACGGATGATTAGCGCGCACTGTCGATTGCCTTATATGGAAAGTGAAAGTACAATTTCTCGAATAGCTTTGTTTACATTCTGTAGTATTTAAAAGAGTCTCTCTCTTGCCCAAATTATATGAATAGTTACTTGTTATTGTAATTTTGTATCTTTTCAGTTAATCGTCAAATATCCTATCATATCTTGTTAGATTCAGCATTGTCCACACATTTATGGTTTTAAGATATTTTGGTTTTAATAAACTCTGTGTGAACGCTGTTCTAATGTGTTTGGTTGTTGTGGTCCTGATAGTCTTACGCATTAACAACGCCACATACAGTCTCCCCACCCCTTTCTGTTATTGAGGCAGCTGGATGATGCTGACTTGGTTTAACCTCTGTTATTCCAGAAAACACAGTCAACCTAGTAAAAAGTAAACTAGTAACCCAGTTGAAAAACAAAAAAAAAAGACTAATTGCTGCTGATCGAGCAACATGTCTCACGGTTCAAAGTGTCAATAGTTCAACAAAAGTAGAAAAAAAACAACTCTACTTTAGTCCTCTTTTCACAATTACGAACTGCCTCTTATACCTTGACTGCAATAGCTACCTTTCTGTTATCACCGAAGATTGTAGTTGCAGCGACTTGGTTGCATTTCACGGTAGCGAATAGCTAGTCAGAATCCTTGACAGAAAGGCAGTAAACAATAAGCCATTATTGTCTTTCTGTAGAGGGCCCTGATTGGCTGTATTTGCTGGCGTACAACCAAATCAAATGACTGCATTCTGTGATACAAGAAAGGTGACTATTGTAGTCAAGGGTATTAGAAGCAGTTCGTACTATCTTGACATCATCAGCACCAAAACGGGGAAAAATAAAAAAAAAATAAATAATCAAAAGTCAAAATGAAAACCAAAAACGTAAAAGCACAGCAGATTAATATTCAACGATGCAAGAAAACAACATCACAGAAAAACACCAAAAAGTTTCTCACATTGCTTGTGGTAGACGGCGGATGATCAGGAGAATAAACATAAAGGTTTGGGTCCATTTCAGTTAAAATATGACACTTGTCCAACAACGAAGAATTCGTTCACTAACTCTGTGGATGTAATTTCAAACTATTCATAAAGACAACCGACTACAAACGGTTGCCTAGTGAACACACGTCAAGGAATTGACAATAAAAGGGAATCAAGTAAAACTTCTAGATTCCGTCTTTTGTACCAGGACCATTGTACCAAGAATGTTCAATATAACTTCCGATGCAGTGATCAGCTAGAAGTTCCTCCCTCCAAGCAATCTGGCATTCGATAACAGTATCAACTCTGTTTGAATATGACAATGATCCATCAACGATAAGAAAAGGTAAGGGCTGTGTGTCAAGTCTTGTCAATATTTTTTCGTTTATCAATTCACCTCTGCATTTTTGATTCTTAGCAATCTCCAGTTGAGACAAACTGGTATATAAAGGGTACCTTGACTCCCGAAGGTCTGTTATCAGGAGCCTTAAATATTCTAAAATTCGAGATTCTATGAAAGTGAAAGAATTAAAAGGGGACATGGCGGTAAAATGTCCTCCACCCCTTGTTAATTGTATTAATCTGTCAAACCCCATCCTTAAATATAATGGGCAGACCCGAGAGTTATAATTGTTGTTGCGAACGAAAGTGCAGAAAAGTAGGACGTCAAACTGTTAGTGTAATGTCATGTAGTGAGCTGTAGAAAAGCAGACTGATTAATATATATCGATGTAAAGTATATATCAACACAATGAATTGTTTGTTTTACCGATTGACTGTAGAATAACTAATGAATAAAAAACTATATAAGTTATTAGATATAATGCATGAAATTGATCGAGTATTGTAGTTGTATTCTAAGTACTCTTTATATAACAAGGATTCCGATACTTGAACAATTCAAACAAAGTTATACATTAGAGAAAGGTACTTTAATCACGACATGCCTTTTCAAGTGCACTAATAAATATATGAAATGCATTAAGATATACCAGCATTAGCACCGGAACGTGATAAAAATATGACATGTCTAAAATTAAAACTATTATGGTAAGAATATATAAATTAAAATAAAACGATGCAAAAACAGAAAAGAAAACAAATATGAGAAAACATCCTAAATCGTGACAACAATATCACAGTAGTAACCCAAAAAATGTTATAAATACACAAAAACGCAAATAAAAAACAACAACAAAACCATGACAAAATGATATTCTTTTAATAATCATGTTTTCTGTGTACCTGCTCAAAGACTTCGCATTGTTACCTCACTTGTTATAACCCCTTTTATCTATTGTCCC